AGGGAGTGGAGTGGCAAGCTGGCTAATTCAGACAGGGTTGTGAGAAAAGGTCCATCAGGTATTTGAATGATAGGAGAGAGGTCCGTGGAAGAGTACTGAGACAACACTGAGCTTAGCATATTTGAAGTATAACAAGAAGAGGAATCAAATATATAAGAATTTTATTTTACATAACACTGTGTGCTCTTTCTTAACATCTATATCCCAAGGAACTATCAAAGTTTTTTTTCCTCCTAAGGTCTTACCTGGTCGAATTGTACTATCTCTTCCAAATAAATGAAGGCGTCTTCTACCAAGACAAAAATGTTCAATTATATGAAAAATTTCTACAGGCTTTTCTATATTGCCAATTTCAGGTTCTTCTGTGATGATCAAGTCAATGTCAACATTAGCATGAATGAAGTCCCCGTCTGTGCTACGCTTAACAGTTCCTTTGATCCCCATAAGGCAGTGTTCCTAAATAATAATAAGAGCAGAACAATTAATCTCTTTTCATCAACAGTCATATTTCACAACATTTTACATTTCTGACGTTCCTCAATTCCAAAACAATCCTCATTTCTCTGAATCTTTGGGATACAGGTCTATGGGCAAAAACACAAAAGGAAAAACCTGGATTTCTGGATCTGAGAAGACTGCCAGGGAAACTAGACATCAGAGTATTAAACTCGGGGCCATGACATTTTAGAATTGAGTCAACAACTGCAGAATCTTTTCCTCTGCAACCCTTGAAAATAACTTGTCTTCAGCAGTTATGGGCATGGCACTTGACCTTGGAATCTTAAAATGATGTTATACTGGGCCTCACATGATCCAAGATCAAAACTATATATAAAGTATAAGCCTTTTCATATGCAGAGGACTTCAAGTATGGATACAGACTTATAAATACTCAACATAAGTGTGAAAATCAAATGATTTCCATTTTTGTTTGTTTTTTGACCTCTATTTAATCTGGATGACAGAGTATGGTTTAAATAAATTTAATCTCACTTGACTCTATGAACCAATAATAGCAAGGATGGCTTAGATTCCCTTCAAACAGAATTTCTAGTCCAAGAAAGACTTTTAAAAAGACCCTCCACCAGAGGCTCCCTGAAGAGTGAAAGACTGGAGGACAAACTGTTAAACCCTGATAACTAGCTGGGCAGTCCTCTGAAACAGAGGTTCTCAGTGGTTCTTGTTCAGGTTCTTATGTAGAAAAAAGAAAGGAAGGGGAAAGAAATATTCATCTAAGCTGGCCAGCTATGAGTCTTGCTGCCATTTCTTTTTTCTGAGCATAGAGAAAGGAAAAAAAGCTCGGGGTCAGGAGTACTAAAAGCCCATATCTGACTTAGAATTACAGCAGTTTAGGATATACAGGAATACCTTCTCCAGCTCAGTATAGGTTGATCTGAGTGAATAAAATATTTTTAAATTAAGATGGATGTATTACTTTAATGCTCAATGCCATTTGTACAAGTCAAAGAGAAGGATCTTTCCACCAAAATTAATTAAACAGTATACAGTCATTTGGAAAAGCTTGAGAGAAAATAATGAAAATAAAGAAAACAAAACAGTAAATACCTTTGTTCTCTGGAAGACAGCCTTTGGATCTAAAGTCTTAGTCTTCCCAGGATTGTTTTTATTGGTTTTAATCCAACAAATATCTTCACATCTTCTGTAACCCCACTTGCGTAAACACTAGAAATGAAAGAATTTTTTAAAAAATCCTTAGCTAAAAGAAATAAACAATACTTAAAATAACCAACCAGCATTAAAAACTTCCTAGAGGTTTGAGACATTAAATTCCAAGGTGTCACAGTAATTTTGTCTTTGTGCAGAAATAGAAAAAAAGAAATACTAGTCTTTAAATATACAGCCATTATACAGAATACACATATACCTTCTGAATATTAATATACAGTTGATATTAAAACATAAAAAGGATTACATAATACTCTGATTCTTTAATACTACCTTCTACTGTCACCAATAGAAAGTTTTCTTTTTTTTTTTTTTTTTTTTTTTTCTTTTTTTTCCCTGTGTCCCGGCGCTTGAGGATAGAACCCGCAGAACGGAAGCCGCCGGTACCGAAGACATGACGCCGAGGGGGCCGGAGCCCTTTCCCTCTACCTCTGTACATTACGCGGACCGGGACCGCACACCCGATCCCCACCAAGAAAAGGAGGGTGAAAGTTTTAAATCATAAGAAAACTCAGTCCCTGTTTATTCAGAAAATAATTCAAAAGATAATTTTGAATAAATGGGCCATACTCTTCAAAATGTTAACGTCATGAAAGAAAAACTAAGGAAGTCTTCCAGATAAAAGATTGAAGAGACATGAAAACTGATGACACTGAGTGATCCTAAGACCAGAAAAAAATTATTTATACTATATAGATGTTATAAGTGGGACACTTAGTTATAAGTGGGAAGCACTTAGGGGGAAAGGGACATTATGTCTAGAATTTACTCTGAAATGGGGGAGGGAAAAATGGAAAGAATGAAAAAGAGTAAAAGAGAGAGTGAGGGGGAGAGGAGAATAAAAAAGTAAATGTGAACATTTGAGCTTCTGGGTGAATGGTAAATGTGGATTGTTTCATAATTTTTAGAATTTTTCTGTAAGACTGAAGTTATTTTGAAATAAAATGTCTTAATATCAGAAAAAAAACAAAAGATAATTTTGTTCCTTCCACCACAACTTTCTATCCTCTGACAAAGCTAAAAACTGTTGAAAATGTTCTGATAACTTCTTTCCAAATGAGAGTCTTATGTTATTTTTATGATTTAATACTAAACCTCAAAAATTCAAAGACTTAAAATTGTTCTTATATTTCTTTATTGAGTAAAACTTTACTTTCATCTTTATGTAATCTAGACAATAGAGAGATTTGAACTTTAGTGTCCTAGAATCTGTTATATATGAACATATAACAAATACTAGCTAAGGGAGTACTCAGGGTGGCATTTTGAGGCCCACCATACGTAGGTGTTGGCTAGCTGCTGGGAAAAAAAAAACATGAACAAGATATAGTCCTTACTCCTAGTTGATTAAGAGCAAAGTAAGGGGAAATAAGTAAATTGTGCAGTACAATATTGTTGGTACTATGATCAAGTACAAATAGAGATGCAGTGGAACATAAAACATAAACACACTTTTCAGGAATGCTCTTATTGTATAAACTGAGATACACCACAAAATGAAACTTAGATTTTTAATTTAAAATCTCAAAAATCAAGATCAGTATCTGTTCCTGTTGCCAAGTATTTGTTTCGCACTGCATTAAATATCACAAGGGCCTAAATCCAACATGCCCTAATCAACTTAGCACAAGCTCATGAGTATTTATCATGCTGAATTATTTCTGTAATCATTTGGAGCCAAAATCTGCTTTCACCAATATGATAAATTGCTGCATAAACAAATAAGATAAAACCTCCTAATCAATTTCAACCTAATTTGGGGGGTGGGAGAAAAGCCCTAAGCCAGACAATAGAGCTAAAAAAGGTGAATACCAATATACCTATAAAAACATACAGTATGTCTCTATTTTCTTAGATTTTCCATAGCATCTTAGGGAGGTTCCAGCAATAAAAGATACCCTATATACAGTTATAGTCTTACCATGGATTTAATAAATGACAGAAGCAATGATGTTATCCAACAGTCTCAAACTTGCTATTTATACAAATACAAAAGCAACTGCAGAATTTCAGGATTTGAGAACCAATTTATCTCAATATAATCCTACTTAAATTCTTCACCTGTCAAATGGACACCTAAAATTACCAGGATTTAAATGAGATCATAGGCAGTAGATCAAGTAATATTTCCTAAAAATGGAAAGTATTATCCAATAACAAGTGAGGTAACTGAAACACAAAAGAGTAAATATCTCTTTACCCAAAGTTTCACTGTTGGACATCAGAATTGAGACCAGAAGTAGCCACAGTGCTTCCATTATAAAAAAGCTTTATTATTTTGTTTCCATTTAGAAATCCAAAATACTCCAATCAAAAAAAACAAAAAAAGTTCTGAAATACAATAAATATAAGGTACTTAAATTGAGATGTTATAACTTCTTTCTCACTCTCATGAATTTATTCAAACTATGTGCTCCAGATGCTGTGTTACTTTTCCAATTTGATTTGGCTTTCATTTGGAATTCAGGAGTTAATGCTAGTCAGAAGAATACTTTTTAGCTACTAATAATGAACAGTAAATGACACTAAGCAGCTTGCTTTTGAGCTGCAATTCAGTTTCAAATCTCTGAACTGTTCTCTTCCTGCAGTTGTAATAAACCATATTTTGATTTATTCACCCCTAATGCTAGTTAACTAAGGGATACTGCCTTTTACACATTCTTTTTTAAACATTTTTTTCTTCTGAATATTTTAGTACTGTTCAAAAAACAAAGGAGAAAATAACATTAATCTTCAAACTTCTTATGCAACATACTGTTATTTTTTTCTTACGAATTTAAAAAACCACTTAAAAAAACACCATCTTACCACTCTTCCAAGGTCCAATCCCTCCCCAGAACCACACCAGAGAAAAATAAATGATCGAGGTGCTGCAATCTCATCAATTTCTAACTTCATGATCTGTAAGAAACCAAACCAATATTGCATAAAAGCATTTTGTTTCCCATTCATCCTAAATCCAAAAGAAAAACCACTGAGATTTATCAGGACTTACAGTAAATGTGTTCTTTAAATGTACTAATTTTCATTAGGAAATACAATGGAAAATAAATTTTATCCTTAAAACTTGTTCTTCTGGTTTTTTATTCCCTATTAAGACAACACACACAGATGCACACATGCACATACATACACTTGATTTTATATGGAAAGAGTTTACAGGAAACCATATTTATAGAATTGCAGAATTTTACAAGTTATGGCTTGAGAGCAACCTGTTACCATTTACAGAAAAAGAAACTGAAAAGGGATTAAATTACCCCAAAGATAGGGGCAAAATTAAAACACAACCACAAATGTTTGGGGGAGGACTTGCTTTCCAGTAGAACAGTTCTAAATAAAATAAATCAATATACACATTTCAGTATAATGACTAAGTCTGAAATGTCACAAACAATAGACTATAATTGTTTGCTTTGTATTTGTTAAGTGTGTCAATTTAAAAAAAAGTTCTGCGATAATTAAATCTCTAAATTGGGGAAATACCGTATACTTGTATAAATGACTACAAAAGCAATCATTTTATATGGTATTCCTTTTCTTTTAGCTACCTGTCACAGTTAAGAGGTTCCAGAGACAACGGTTCAAGCAAATATTTATTAGTTTCACGTATTAAGAAAATCTTAACTTCTACCTGAGTGGATCATGACCACATCATCTATAATTTATCTAGGTAAAAATACATTATTTGACAGTGATAATGGAAAAAAAATTACAATAGGCATAAATCTATTCAGTTTTATACTTCCAACTTTAAGTCTTGATATATCTCATCTAATATTCTCATAGGAATATGAATTAAAATAAATATGTAATACACACACACATATATTCCTACAAACGTCTATACATGGTATAGCTAAAGATAAGTGATGGCACACATCAGTGAAGAACATTAAGCAAATTACTCTCTTGACATTACAATTATAAATGCTAAATGTTGGTATTTTAAGAAAGTGCTTATATTCTTTTGGGGTTTTTTTGTTGTTTTTTTTTTGCAGTACGCAGGCCTCTCACTGTTGTGGCCTCTCCCGTTGCAGAGCACAGGCTCCGGACGTGCAGGCTCAGCGGCCATGGCTCACAGGCCCAGCCGCTCTGCGGCACGTGGGATCCTCCCTGACCGGGGCACGAACCTGCGTCCCCTCCACCGGCAGGCGGACTCTCAACCACTGCGCCACCAGGGAAGCCTGAAAATGCTTATATTCTTAAACAAAACACACTGGCCTCTACTGACTCTCTATGTGAAAAAGAATACCTGTGAAACCCGAATGCTTTTCTTATTTATACTTTATGTTAGCTACTGGCACGTTCTTTAAGCTATTATCACATAAACGTTAAGAGCTTAGGGCTCCGGGACGAGATAAAACTTTTCAACATGCATATAAAATGGAATTCCTTTATTTCAAAAACTCTGTTAGTTTATCATATATAATTGAAGCTCCTGTACCTTCACTGACCAAACCTTAGAGACTGGCTAGAGAAAATAAAGTTCAACCTAACCACTAATCATAGACATAATAAGATTAATTTTTCAATTTTCTTTGACTAAATTGACAAAGATTGTTTTACATTATTAGTCAATTTTGATGAGGATATGGTGAAATAGGTATTTCTTAAACACTACTAGAAGGAATGTAAATGTGTGCAACCTATCTGAGGAAATTCTCAGCAATATCAAGAACATTACATCTTTAACCTTAAGTTTGGGGGATACTATATACTGTATACTTTTCTGTTTCAACAATAAACACAGATTACACTTATCAGAGGAGAGGAAAAACTTTTGTAAAGTAAAATAAAATAAAATAAAATTGCCAGAGGTACTGAAGCTGAAAGGAAAAGCTTCAAGGAAGAAACACTGAAGTTATTCCATCTTGAAAAGTAAGTAATATTAACAATAGTTAATAATTATTAACTCGGAAGATGTGCAAGGATTCAAAGCAGTTCTCTATGAAACAGCAGTCTAGAATTTCAGTCCTTTCCCTTCCCCACCTCTCTTCTGTGTTCAGTGCTCCTGATCACACTCTCCTCCTCGCAATTCCCTATTCCTTTGCTTCCCGTGACATTCATACTCTCTTGGTTCACCTCATTCATCTTTGACCCATTCTTTTCACATCTCTTTTATAATGTGCCTCTTAAATGTAAGTTTCCTGAAGATTTACAGTAAATCCACACCGTATCTTAATTGAGACACCATCTCAAGACAAATTCATTTATTCTCATAGGTTTAATGTGCTAACCCTTTAAAATCTGTATTTTGAGATGATCGGATCTGTCTTTTAAGTTTCATACTCTTATTACAACCTCTACTTGAATGTCTCACATACACCTCTATATCAACACATTCAGTATAATCTAATCGCTCTAATCCTGCTACTCTCCTTAAATTGACTTTCTCAGCTGGTGATCTCAACCCATTTATCCCAAGACTCAAACTCCTGAGTCATCCTTTACTCTTCCCCTCTTCCCAATCACTAGATCTCACCAGAAGTATCTACAAAACATTACTGAATTTATCACCTCCTTTCTATTCTTATTACCATCACCCTAAATCAGGGTCCCTTCATCTCCTAACTAGACTACGGCAACGGTCTTCTATCTGCTCTCCCCTCTCCAGACTTCATTTTCTCTAGTCCATCCTCCTCTACACACTAATCTGACCATTTTACTAAACTGGTTAAAGCCCTTCAAAGACTCCTTAATGCCTTTAGGCATTAAGCTAAGCTTCTAAGAAGACAAGTCCAAGCTTCTAAGAAGACAGCAACTCAAGACAGTCCCAATCTGTGTTCCAACCTCAACCTACATACAGACCTCCCTCACCCGTCTCTTTGCCTCCATCCCTTCTGCTCTTGCTGTTCCTTCTGCTTGGAATCCCTAATCCACCCTTTTCTTCAGCTGGCCAATTCCAGCTAATCTATCCATACATACTGTTCATGTGTCATCTCCTCTTTGTTTATGTCCCCCAGCTTCCTCAGCTTGGTCAGTTTTTCTCAGATCACCTTATGCAGTCCTCTATTATTGAACTAACAATATGATAATGCAATTATCTGTTTAGGTCATTGTTTATTTTATCCCATTAAACTGTGTGCCCCTTAAGGTCAAATACTAAGTCTTATTCATCTTTCAATCTCCAGTACCTACTTGGCTAGTACAAAGTGGTGCTCAATAAATATTTGTTATTTTTGTTATTGATCAGTAAAAACAGGTTACTTTATGTAACTAAGTGAAGCTATCAGCTTGTTCAATTTTATTCAGGAATATATAACATTATCACAATTATATAATACTGAGTTATATCCCAATTATATAATACATGTCCCTTAAATCTATGATACTGTAAGTTCTTTAAAGAGTAGAAATTATGTTCGTGTGTGTGTGTGTGTGTGTGTACACTATATACTCTGATGTTTACTAAAACTAACCAAATATGGAATGTTATCAACCATTCAATCTGTTTTTAAACTTATTTCTAGCTATACATCCAAGGACTCTAAGACTGGAATTGTGAGTCTTCCACAGATGATTCACTCACTACCTACTCAACTTCTGCCTCAAAAAGACAAATCAGGGCTTCCCTGATGGCGCAGTGGTTGAGAGTCCGCCTGCCGATGCAGGGTACACGGGTTCGTGCCCCGGTCCGGGAAGTTCCCACATGCCGCGGAGCGGCTCGGCCCGTGAGCCATGGCCGCTGAGCCTGCACGTCTGGAGCCTGTGCTCCACAACGGGCAAGGCCCGCATACCGCAAAAAAAAACAAAAAAAGACAAATCAGACTAAAGATATATAAAGAGGGCTTCCCTGGTGGCGCAGTGGTTGAGAGTCTGCCTGCCGATGCAGGGGACACGGGTTCGTGCCCCGGTCCGGGAGGATCCCACATGCCGCGGAGCAGCTGGGCCCGTGAGCCATGGCCGCTGGGCCTGCGCGTCCAGAGCCTGTGCTCCGCAATGGGAGAGGCCACAACAGTGAGAGGCCCGCAAACCACAAAAAAAAAAAAAAAAAAAAGATATATAAAGATATAATAATATTTGTTAATGTACCTTACACCTTCAGTCATAATATATACTATAAATCTATATTTACAATTCCTAAAAAAGTAGGGGTATTTATAATATTACTTTCTGATCAGACATATATTTATTTGAAAAATAAATAATTCATTACAATGTAGAAAGTTTGATCATACATCATCCCAAGTCCAGCATTTTTCATTAGCAGTGATGCCAGTCTCTCTGTAATATTCTTCTAAAGGGGGTTCAAGAAGAATCACATCAAATTTGGGTGTTAGTTCTCTGATGTCAAAGGCTTCTATATCTGCTTGTAAGTACCTATTTGATTAAAGCATAAAATGTAAGAGATTTTCAAATACTTTACAGATGGTAATGAAAGAAATTTCTTAAATATTTCCTAAACACTATTTACAAAGTCACCATGAGCTAATTACTGAATACCTTTTTATGGAGTAGTATCCTTTCTCAGTACAGACAGTAAACCATCTACCAGTGCTCTTCCCGAGGACATGGATACACTTACACTACAAAGTAAAATCACAGTCCCACACGAACATCTAAAATACAAACTTCTCTCATTTCTTATATTCAAAATCCATACTCAGATGAGTGTCTGAGCCCCTTGCCATTATCGTCTTAATATTCCAAAGAATACCATATTACTTTTTCAACAATTGTTAAGTTAGAAAAACTATTTGTTAGTTTTAAATTCCTCCCTCCAAAAAGTTTCTAAAAATGGACATAATTTTCTTTCATTAGTTTGTGCCTTAGTAATATTGTTTAACAGTCTTTTCTAGTTACTTAGTATAAATTACTACTAGCCTTTACTTAATGGTTATTTCCACATAGTATGAAAGTATTTTAAATATAAAATACTTTAAATGTAAGAGTATTTTTAAATAGGATGAAAATTAGTCTGCTAAAATTTCTGCCACAAACTCAGACTTCTTTGCGGTTCTTCTAATCATTAACAGTATACATTTTAGCAAGCTGTTAAATGTACAAAATGTTCAAAGTAAGCTAAATGTGAAATAAAGAGAGTCTCCAACTTCAAAGACCTTAAACACATTTTTTTAGGGAAGCATTAGTCTGTTTAGCAAAGGTTAAAATGAATTTTTGTATTCCAAAATGTTAATAGCATCTCTGCTTGCTGAGTTATAATTAACTTTCATTTTCTTACTTTCCCTCTCTAAGTTTTCTAACTTTCTTCAATAAATAATTTTTGAGAAGAAAAGTCATTTAAAAACATTTTAAGATAATCAGGAATACAACAAATATGATTTTCTAAGAACAAAATTTAAATTAGTAATTTAAATTGTCTAGAAAACTGAAAATAAATTAAATGAGAACCTACTGTGTACTCAGCACTGGAGTTTCAAACTAATATATTTTACTATACAAAAGAAAGCGTGTGTTAACCTTACAAAGATAGTGAATTTTTTTCAAACAGAAAAGGGGTTACATGATAAAAAGACTAATATTTTAAGCCTGAGTTGGGAACAAAAAACCCCACTTACATAGGAGGAGTGTTAGATTTAGCTATTAACTCATCCTTCAGCCTGATGAGCTCCCTCAGTTTAGGGTACTCTTCAAATCTGTCAGCCAAACCTGAAGAGGAAACATAGTAATTCCAAATTTCAATACAAATGAGTATCAGTGCATTCGAACGTGATGAGCCTGCTCAGAACAAAACAATGCACAACCACCTCACATCCTTTTAAAAAAGTCTGAGGACTTTTAAACAATTCATATATACATTTTATATACCTAATGACCCTAATCCCACATGCAGGCAAACTCCCAGATGTTCAAAAGCCCAGATCAAGTCAATTAACCATTTAATTTCTCAAATTTATTAAATTAACTAACCTGCTTATAGCATCAAATTTAGCCATTCTGTTCTCAGGAAAAGAAAAATTTTTCTTTCAATCATACTTTTTTCATTTTCTTTTTACTCAAAAAAGTCTTTCTCCCAAAGAATCTAGCGATTGTTAAAATTTTTACTTAGTTTCTTAGACAGTTATCCAAAGCAGAGAAAATGAGGATTTCTCTTCTTTACTACTGATGATCTTAAGTGGGTACACTTTATGAACACAATCCCAGAAAAATCTAGTTAAAAAGATAATGAGTCCCTAACAGTCATTAGCTCACACCTCATTCACTCTGATTACTTATCTAAATTGTACTACCAATTCCAAAATAAGTCACTTTCTCTAAGAATATTTCCTATATCAATATTTATAGTTTTAAAGATCTCACTCCACATTATTATAAACAAAATCCTCAGATACATTATCAAGCTTAGGACCTCGAAAAACATCTCCAAGTTCCATAAAGGTTAAAAACAGGAGACTTATTCCCATGTCCTCAAAAATATTTAAATCTGGGGGGTGTTCTGAAGATGGCAGAAGAGTAAGACACAGATACACAGATACACCAGAAATACACCTACGCATGGAACAACTCCTACAGAACACCTACTGAATGCTGGCAGAAGACTTCAGACCTCCCAAAAGGCAAGAAAGTCCCCACGTACCTGGGTAGGGTAAAAGAAAAAAAGAAAAAAGAGACAAAAGAATAGGGATGGGACCTGCACCAGTGGGAGGGAGCTGTGAAGGAGGAAAGGTTTCCACACCTAAAAAGCCCCTTCACGGCCGGAGACTGCGGGTGGCGAAGGGGGGAACTTCGAAGCTGCAGAGAAGAGCACAGCAGCAGGGGTGCGGACGGCAAAGCGGGGAGATTCCTGCACACAGGATCAGGGCTGACCGGCACTCACCGGCCCGAGAGGCTTGTCTGCTCACCCGCCAAGGCGGGCAGGGCTGGGAGTTGAGGCTCGGGCTTCCGTCAGAGCGCAGGGAAAGGACTGGGGCTGGAGGCGTGAACACTGCCTGCAGGGGTTAGTGCACCACGACTAGCAGGGAGGGAGTCCGGGGAAAAGTCTGGACCTGCCGAAGAGGCGAGAGACTTTTTCTTCCCTCGTTGTTTCCTCGTGCACGAGGAGAGGGGATTAAGAGCGCTGCTTAAAGGAACTCCAGAGACGGGCGTGAGCCGCAGCTAAAAGCGCAGACCCCAGAGACGGGCGCGAGCCACGGCTAAAAGCGCAGACCCCAGAAACGGGCACGAGCCGCAAGCTAAAAGCGCGGACCCAAGACGGTCGCGGGCCGCGGCTAAAAGCGCGGACTCCAGAGACGGGCGGGAGACGCTAAGGCTGCTGCTGCCACAACCAAGGGGCCTGTGTGCGAGCACAGGTCACTATCCACACCCCTCTTCCGGGGAGCCTGTGCAGACCACCACTGCCAGGTTCCTGGGATCCAGGGACAACTTGCCCGGGAGAACGCACGGCGGGCCTCAGGCTGGTGCAACGTCACGCCGGCCTCTGCCACCGCAGGCCCGCCCCGCACTCCGCGCCCCTCCCTACCCCCCGCTCCTTTAACCCTCTCCTGTCTGAGCGAAGAATAGACGCCCTCCGGCGACCTACATGCAGAGGCGGGACCAAATTCAAAGCTGAGACCCTGGGAGCTGTGAGAACAAAGAAGAGAAAGGGAAATCTCTCCCAGCAGCCTCAGAAGCAGCGGATTAAAGCTAGACAATCAACTTGATGTACCCTGCATCTGAGGAATACGTGAATAGACAACGAATGATCCCAAATTGAGGAGGTGGACTTTGAGAGCAAGATTTATTATTCGTTCCCCTTTTCCTCTTTCTATGAGTATGTATGTGTATGCTTCTGTGTGAGATTCTGTCTGTATAGCTTTGCTCCATTTGTCCTAATGTTCTATCCGTCTTTTCTTTTTAAAAAATTTTTTTTCTTAATAATTATTTTTAATTTACTAACTTTATTATATTTTACTTCATTTTATTTAACTTTATCTTTTCTTTTTTCCCTTCCTTCCTTCCTTCCTCCCACTGTCCCGCCCTCACTCCCTCCCTTCTTTCCTTCTTTCCTTCTTTTCCTTTCTTCCTTCCTTCCTTCCTTCCCTCCTTTCTTTCTTTCTTTCTTCCTACTTCTACTAATTCTTTCTCTCTACTTTTTCTCCCTTTTATTCTGAGCCATGTGGATGAAAGGCTCTTGGTGCTGCAGCCAGGAGTCAGTGCTGTGCCTCTGAGGTGGGAGAGCCAACTTCAGGACACTGGTCAAAAAGAGACCTCCCAGCTCCACATAATATCAAAACATGAAAATCTCCCAGAGATCTCCATCTCAACACCAGCACCCAGCTTCACTCAACGACCAGCAAGCCACAGTGCTGGACACCCTATGACAAACAACTAGCAAAACAGGAACACAACCCCACCCATTAGCAGAGGCTGCCCAAAATCATAATACGTCCACAGACACCCAAAAGCACACCACCAGACATGGACCTGCCCACCAGAGAGACAAGATCCAACCTCATCCACCATAACACAGGCAGTAGTCCCCTCCACCAAGAAGCCTACACAACCCACTAAACCAACCTTAGACACTGGGGACAGACATCAGAAACAATGGGAACTACGAACGTGCAGCCTGCAAAAAGGAGACCCCAAACACAGTAAGATAAGCAAAATGAGAAGACAGAAAAACACACAGCAGATGAAGGAGCAAGATAAAAACCCCCCAGACCTAACAAATGAGGAGGAAACAGGCAGTCTACCTGAAAAAGAATTCAGAATAATGATAGTAAAGATGATCCAAAATCTTGGAAATAGAACAGACAAAATGCAAGAACCACTTAACAAGGACCTAGAAGAACTAAAGATGAAACAAACAATGATGAACAACACAATAAATGAAATGAAAAATACCCTAGATGGGATCAATAGCAGAATAACTGAGGCAGATGAACGGATAAGTGACCTGGAAGATAAAATAGTGGAAATAACTACTGCAGAGCAGAATAAAGAAAAAAGAATGAGAAGAACTGAGGACAGTCTCAGAGACCTCTGGGACAACATTAAACGCACAAACATTCGAATTATAGGGGTTCCAGAAGAAGAAAAGAAAAAGAAAGGGACTGAGAAAATATTTGAAGAGATCATAGTTGAAAACTTCCCTAATATGGAAAAGGAAATAGTTAATCAACTCCAGGAAGCACAGAGAGTCCCATACAGGATAAATCTAAGGAGAAATACGCCAAGACACATATTAATCAAACTGTCAAAAATTAAATATAAGGAAAGCATATTAAAAGCAGCAGGGGAAAAACAAATAACACACAAGGGAATCCCCATAAGGTTAACAGCTGATCTCTCAGCAGAAACTGCAAGCCAAAAGGGAGTGGCAGGACATACTTAAAGTGATAAAGGAGAAAAACCTGCAACCAAGATTACTCTACCCACCAAGGATCTCATTCAGATTTGATGGAGAAATTAAAACCTTTACAGACAAGGAAAAGCTGAGAGAGTTCAGCACCACCAAACCAGCTCTACAACAACTGCTAAAGGAACTTCTCTAGGCAAGAAACACAAGAGAAGGAAAACACCTACAATAACAAACCCAAAACAATTAAGAAAATGGGAATAGGAACATACATATAAATAATTACCTTAAATGTAAATGGACGAAATGCTCCCACCAAAAGACACAGACTGGCTGAATGGATACTAAAACAAGACCCATATATATGCTGTCTACAAGAGACCCACTTCAGACCTAGGGACACATACAGACTGAAAGTAAGGGGATGGAAAGTTATTCCATGCAAATGGAAACCAAAAGAAAGCTGGAGTAGAAATTCTCATATCAGACAAAATACACTTTAAAATAAGGACTATCAGAAGAGACAAAGAAGGACACTACATAATGATCAAGGGATCGATCCAAGAAGAAGATATAACCATTGTAAATATTTATGCACCCAACATAGGAGCATCTCAATACATAAGGCAAATACTAACAGCCATAAAAGGGGAAATCGACAGAAACACATTCATAGTAGGGGACTTTAACACCCCACTTTCACCAATGGACAGATCATCCAAAATAAAAATAAATAAGGAAACACAAGCTTTAAATGATACATTAAACAAGATGGGCTTAACTGTTATTTATAGGACACTCCTTCCAACAACAACAGAATACACATTTTTCTCAAGTGCTCATGGAACATTCTCCAGGATAGATCATATCTTGTGTCAAATATCAAGCCTTGGTAAATTTAAGGAAATTGAAATTGTATCAAGTATCTTTTCTGACCACAACGCCATAAGACTAGGTATCAATTACAGGAAAAGATCTGTAAAAAATACAAACACATGGAGGCTAAACAATACACTACTTAAAACGAAGTGATCACTGAAGAACTCAAAGAGGAAATCAAAAAATACCTAGAAACAAATGACAATGGAGACACGATGACCCAAAACCTATGGGATGCAGCAAAAGCAGTTCTAAGAGGGAAGTTTATAGCAATACAAGCCCACCTTAAGAAACAGGAGACATCTCGAATAAACAACCTAACGTTGCACCTAAAGCAATTAGAGAAAGAAGAACAAAAAAACCCCAAATTTAGCAGAAGGAAAGAAATCATAAAAATCAGATCAGAAATAAATGAAAAAGAAATGAAGGAAACAATAGCAAAGATCAATAAAACTAAAAGCTGCTTCTTTGAGAAGATAAACAAAATAGA